GAGTAGAAGATGGAAATGGACTCAATGCTGCAAGTCTTGTTGGCAACAGTCCATTCTGAGACTCGTAGAATAAGTAAGAAAAAAAAAAATCTTCCATTTCATGCCCTGATATGGGCATTGTTTAGGACCAGTATGAGTATAATAGTTAAACAATAAGACATGTCAAGTGGGGAATTAAAGCCCCAGAGCCCTAATGGTTTGGGGACTCCAAACAGATTATTGATCTATTCAATTGCTCTTCACTTACATTTGACTTTTCAATGGTAGGATTTACTGGAATTTGGGGAACAATTTTGTTAAGGTATTAACTACTGTATTAAAAACTCATCTTCGTATTGAGTTAGTACACTGACTTTCGGTGAATTGACATAGGACTACATTTCATTTTAATCAAAAACAAAAATTTGAAAATGTTACTCCCTAAACAAGCAACAATGCGTTTTATAAGCCCTGCAGAGATTTAATAAATAGCATCTGTGATTAATTTGGAAACAGCCCCTGATGCGTGAGGGTCACTCAATACATGTAATGGCCTCTTTCTCAGTTTTTAGATGAGGTAAATGCTGACCAGGGACCCAATGAGCAGTCAGCCAATCCTGAATAGGTTTGTGATCAGGCTCCTTGGGGATGTCTTTTGTAAAAATAATAAAAAAAAGGAATCGATTGATGTCTCTATTGAAAGACTCTGTAATACTAGGACTTCTACACAGCATAAATAATGGTTGGGGGGTCCATTCTTTGAGGAAAAATGCTAAATTGTTACTTTAGTCTCTTGTAGCACCGTTGGGTTAGGGTGCACACTTGGCTTAGAATACCATTTACATCTTTACCTTGTTCTGTGGAAGACCTGTGGCATGCAAACGATTCAACATACTCTTAAAAATACATGTAGTACGCCCAGTAAAATACATTGGCTAGCATAAAAATCAAAGGAAATAGCAGTTTGGAATATCTATCAACATTACTGGGGTTTTGAATTGTGAAATAATCCACAATCCTGTCCATCTTATCTCGGAAGACGAACTTGAACTTGTCGCTGGTTTTCATACTCAGGTTGCTGTAGTCAACGTTATCACCAGAAATTTCAATGGTGGCAAAGCTGATCTTCCGTTTAAAGCTAGAGATGGAGCTGTTGATGATGTTAGTGATATTGACTTCTTCCACTTCTTTCGGCATCCCCTAGTTCATAAACAGTGTAGTTAGCTTGAAAGACTTGACTCAGCAAAATAAATAGGAGGGTATTTATATACTTTGAGCCCTAAGTATTGAATAATTGGTTTAATAGAGAGTGGCACTGAGTGCATTGGAAATTGGCTGGTAAACCAGACTTGGCAGTCCTGTTATCCTGCTTGTGGGTACTGACCCCTGGTTCATTAGCCTGTATAATGGGAAGCATAACCATTGTCCACTCTAACTATGCAGAGCTGTGTGCTAAGCACAAATCTCATTCTTTTTCTCACTATTGTGAAATTTTAGTCACCTCGATCCCTTTAAAACTTGATTTCCTTGCCTGCAAAATGGTGATAATATTAAACCCATCCCATGAGACCGATGGGAAGATTAAATGGCATAAATTATGTAAAGCTTTTAGTAGATGTTTCATGAATTCCATTCTGTTCCAGGGAAGAGGGAGTAATGAATGATGAGAGACAATAGGAATCAGTAGCGTCTAAAGGTCTTTGCCACCCACACAGAAATAGTGATGCTCCCTGACATTCCAGGGAGTTGCCATTCTCCAACATGGCTGGGGCGACATCAGGTGCGGGGAGTGTCGTGAAGTCAGAGAGCAGAGTTTGGATCCTTGGCCAGGCCACCTACTAGATGTGGAGTCTTGAATGAGTTACTGCGTCTCTCTGAGAAGCAGATTCCTAACCAGTGAAATCAAGGTGATAATGGTACCCATCGGATGGGTTGTCAGGTAGACTAAATGAGCTGTTTGACAAGTTGTCTGGCACACAGCAAGTACTCTGTAGTGAAGCTGTTATTATACACATGGCAAAATATGGGCTTTCTGGTACCTTCGGTGAAGGATTTCAGTAATTCTCTAATTCCCTTTTTGCCAGTTTACCAAATCCAGATATATATAGTAATTAACCATTGTCCCCTTAAGGAAGCCTACAGGGAATAAAATAAATGAAATCCATATTCTTCTTTGGCTGGTACACAGGATCATTTACCTTTGGTACTTGGGGGACGTGACCGTGTGAAGCATTGTTCACAGTGGTCAAACACAACAGAAAACGCAACTGGGTCCTTATGCTATTCTGAGTCTTCATTTCCTCACTATTAGAACCTGTGTAGTCCTGGCACCTTGCTGAAGGCGCGTACCTCTTCTCCATTGGTTCCCTATCATCTTTTTGCTTGTTAGGATGAGCTTTCTTACACCGGTGTCTGTCAAATTGGGCTTCCAAAGTATCCCAGAGTTCCACAGCCTCATAGAGGGCAAGAGTTATTAATATGGCCCATTGCCCACCGCAAATGGGAATAACGGATAAGTGTCAGGCTTTGGAGCCAAGCTGATTTAGGTTCAAATCCCAGGTCTATCTCTTGCTACCTGTGTCCCCTGGGGTAGGTCACTTACCCTTCCTGTACCTCCCGTTGCACAGCTATAAACATGGAGATAGCCTTACAGGGTTTTTTTTATGAGCATTTTAAATGATATAATATTTGCAAAGGGCTTGTCACTGTGTCTGGCATATGTAACTGCTCAGGAGATAATAACCATTATTATATTCTGAGAGCTGGGCCATAGTGTTTCACTGCTCAATATATAATGGCAGTCTCTCCATCAGCAGAAAAATATGCTAATGATGAAATTTACCACAACTTAATTTTCCTGTACATTTTTCAGTAAACCATTATTTGTATAATTTAAGAAAACAAGAATGCACAAAATAATTAAATAGTAAATATGGATTAATTTGAAACTCGTGAGCGGCTGATCACGTTTGGTTTGATATTGGGTTTTTCATGGATGCTTGTTCTCGTGGTTGTGATTTGTGATGCATAACAGATAAAATAGTTATTTTCCACTGGAAAATTCAATGTATTAATATCTCCTCATATTTGGCAAAAGGAACAATCTTTTTCAAAAGACGTCATGACTTCCAGGTGCTGCCACCTGAACAAAGATGAGAATCATTGGAGCAAAGCGAACCACTGGGGGGCAGGAACCAGGTCCAAGTCATCTCTACAGACCAGCACATGGCCCGGGTGATGGATCACACGCAGGGCCCTCAGAAGTCTTACCCTGTCTTTGGCTGCCATCTGCTGTAAGGAGCTGTAGTGGGCAACCGCGTATTCCAGCAGGGCCCCAAACACGAAGCTGAAGCAGATTCCCAGGTACACATCGATGGCCTTTATGAAGCAGTTGGTGTTGGGAAGAGAAGTGCGGGACCCAATCATCAGCGTAGTCATAGACAACACGGTGGTCACTCCTGGGAAAACAGGTGGGCGATGTTCCCATATCAGTGGCCGGTGAACCTTCCACCATTACCTGGCAGATTGTCTCCATTCGAGGCTTGGCAAGGTGGGGACAGGACTCAGAAATGGAACATAGCTCGTTTTGAAAACTCTGCGGCCTCCCGGAACAGGGTTGATTTATCCATTTTTTACAAATATGAGTCATACAGTTTTCTAAATGTTTTGCCTTCTGGCTTTTTATTGGAAGGGGCTGTTTGGCAGGCAAAATAACTGACAATAGACCATCCAGTCACAATTCTTCCTTATCTGTCACTGTAACATGGGCTTAAAAATGCTCTACTCTTAGCATAGTCTCTGTCTGTCTGTCTCTCTGTCTGTCTGTCTCTCTCCGCATAAAAGAACCTCTCAAGAAACCAACTCCTGGAACTGCCCTGGGAATATCAATAAAAACAATGGTAGAAGGAAAGAAAGAAAAAGGACCTGACAACCCAGTTCTTAGAAATCTCCTGTTGTCGCTACTTACCGATGCAGGTTCTTGCAGGAACGGAATCGAGAGAGATCCAAAACGAAACCCAGGACAACACCACCAGGAAGGTGGAAGGAACGTAGGTTTCCAAAATGAAATACAGGACATTCCTCCGAAGCTCAAACTGCAAGACCAGTCGTGTATAATTTCCTGATAAGGGTAAACAAGAGACAGAAGGTCCCGTCTGCTCACGCAAAAGAGTGGTTTCCCTGTGAGATGTTTCATTTAGCTATATTCACGTGAAGACATCTGTTACTCACCAAAACCTGGTTAATCGTGACCTGTCACTATAGTTTCACCGAAAGAAAATGCTATTGTGTAAGAGTGGGATTTACAGGGGTGCTGACACCACCCCCCTCACCCATGATCCTCTTTTTGTGCCTCTTTTTGGTGTGCGTGTGTGCCTTTCTTAATCATCATATTCCTGCAGCATTATAACTTCTGGTTTCCTTGACATCTAGCTCACTAGACTGTGAGCCCCTTGGGGCCCGCTGCAGTACTGGGTGTGGAGCAGGTAAATGTGCCAAGCCCAAACCCTACGGCCCCGCCACACTGCAAACGGGTTCCTGGGCCCAAAGGGAGAAAGCGAAGAACAGATGATGATATTTCTGACTTAGAATGCAGCTCGGTTCTTTAGCTGTTATCTAGCTCGTCCCATGAGTTACCTGTTTCCTGCTGCGATCTGGTGACCAAGGTGAAGTACCGCTGTATGGTGTACTGAGCAAGCCGCAGGTTTTCCAGCCCACGCACAGAGTCGTTGCCTCTCAGCCAGCTGAACTCCACGTCGTTTCCGTCGTAGCCCCCTGGCAAGGAAGATATGCATGTACATATATATGTATGTATAAATTTTACTATTTGACCCAGCATTCCATCTGCTCAAGAGAAATCAAATCACATCTACAAAAGACTTGTACACGAAGGTTCACAGCGGCATCGCTCATCGTAGCTAAGAGGCGAAAGCGAGCCAGAGGTGCTTGTATTTGTGTTCTTGCGTACGGAATAACCAGGAGCAAAGCAATCAAAAGCAGTGAAGTACCGGTACATGCTCCAATGTTTCTGAGGTACATGGGCCTCAGAAACATTACGCTAAGTGAAAGAAGCCAGATGCAAAAGACCACATGTTGCATTGATCCCATTTATACGAAATATCCAGAAAAGGCAAATCCACAGAGACGGAAAGCAGATTAGCGGTTGCCTGGGAGCTGGTGGGGGCAAAAGGGGTGATGGTAAATGGGCATGGGGGGTCTCTTAAACGAGATGCAAATGTTTTAACAATGTGGCCACGGTTGTACAACTCAGAAAACTTACTAAAAAATCTTTGAACTGTGCACTTCACATTGGTGAATGTTATGGTATGTAAATTTGCCTCAATAAGGATGCTAAAAAAATAACTCTTTGAGTCAGATATTATTACTTTTCCTACTTTACTGATGAGAAACAGGCCCAGGGAAGTTAGTCCTACTCAGCAGAAGTCACACAGCTGGTGACGGGAAAAGCCCAGTGGAGCCGGTTCCTGTGATCTTAAGCATCTGTACTGCTTTCATTTTCCCAGGAGACTGGGCACAGGTGTCAGTGTTGGGACCAAGGTTTTGGGACATCTTATTTGAAGGTATCCACTGCTTAGCAGCAGTTATCTCCCTTCAGAGGGTGGAGAAGAAGTCATGAGCTCTTCTGAGAGGACATCTGGGCAAAAACGACCTGTGGGCTTTCCCTTAGAAGCACCCCACAATGCACTGAAGTTTGCTGTCCAAATAGACCGAGGATGCCAAAGATATAAAAGTATCTAAGTGAGTCATACAAGCCCCTATTTGGACAGTTTGCTTTGTGGGATGGCATCAATTCTTTTTTAGGGATGGCATTCAGGAAAAAAAACTCTTGATGAGGTTTCCATACCCAAATAAGTGCTAATCAACATCCAGTGAATGCTTCCTCTGCTCGTTGGGGATGGTATTTGTGCAAGCAGAGTGCTGAAGTTTGCAGGAGAATCTCATCCCTGGGATTTAGATGAGAACAGCCATATGTGGAGGGCAATCACTTTTGCCACGTGGGGCTCGAAATGAGTTCTCGTCTTGCTAACCTCAAGTTTCATTCTGCCCCCAAACAGCTGTATTGCTTCAAGAAGGTTTTGCATGTGTTTAATCAATAAGGTAATTAATCTGCCTGAGTCTTTAATTAAACGCCTGCCTCCGAGAAATGACCGCTGCCTTGTAAGGGTCACACTTCTTAAATGGCTGGCCACGTCTGTCCTCATGTAAGAGGTGCCCACTGGTCTCCAGCGCTTGGCTCTAGATTTTCCTCCTTGTATGAGCTGTGCCCTGATTCCTTAATGACTCCTTTTGGTGGCACTGTTTTCCTAGGACACCTATCACAGGTACCACTTCCCCAAGTTTGGTGGGCATTTCAGAATCACTTACTAGGGAACAATGGCTATTACTCAGCAGCGCCATTTGACAGATATCAGGTTAGAGGAAATGCTCATTCTTCATAAGCGAATCCCAGATTGCAGTTTAGATGCACACTTACTGGCAACACTGTGTTAAGCTTTATATATGTATCTAACAATCCCTTTTAGAAGTTGGAAACAATTGTTCGGTGAATGGCAATGATTGCTTTGTATAGTTGCCATTTCTGTTCTCTGCTGTGTTCTTTCCAGCTTCCAAGCCTTAGCGGATCCTGAGTCCAACTCCTAGTCCTAAAAGACCCCCATTTCTTTGGCCGCCTTGTCCAAGGTGGAAATACTTGGTGCTAGTGCACAATGGTCTTCCCCGAAAGATGAAATTTTGGAATGTTTGCCTTTGAACGGTCTCTAAATTTTTCTAGACATACGTTTAGAAGGGCCGAATCTGTTACAGTCGACATCGAGAAAAGAAAGGCCACTAGGTGTAGGACACTTTTCATGAATACACAGATCTAAGTCACTCAGGAAAATCAGCTCAGGGGCCCGCAGGATATATACTCACAGCTTTCCAGCTGCAACTGGCACGTCTGTGTGTCCATGGGGTATTTAGATAGATCCATGTTACATGCAATAGTGGTCGTGATTCTAAGAAAGGAAAAATAGAGTCAAAAAGAGTGTTATGAGGATGCTTATAGAAAGTACGTGTTCTCTGGTAAGGGCCACTCCAGGAGGACTTTCACCTTGACTCTTACAGTGAATGTGTGGCTTGGAGCCTGCATTCAAAGCATTCCTGAGGTTTTCTGCGCTGAGCAACCCCTGTGAGACTCCATTAAAGCTGGAGTCCAGATGGAGGAGGTTTGAATGTTGGTCATTGAGAGGCAAACACCAATATCACTGAACGGAATCACTCATTGGCTTGTGTGAGATGCGTTTGCATCCAGTTTTTAAGTATAATCTTCATGACAAACGGTGAGGAGCTAGAACAAAGATGACTGTCACTATTCTCACCGTTTGACAACAGACTTAGGGGCTCACTTAAGGCTCACACAGCTCTTCGTGACAGAGCTGGGCTGGGGCTCGGGTCCCTGCCTCCTGGAGGAGAATCAGCTTGCAGAGGAAGCAGAGGCTATCGGAGGGCACTAGGCACTGTGGCTCTCAAGGACCAAACCCAGAGACATTTGATTAAACATCAGTTAAGCCCTGACAGTGGAGATTTCAATGAGCAGATCTTTATCTTCCTTTTCCTTCATGTCACACATTTTTATTAAGCACTTTTATTTATTAAGCACTGTGTTGGGTACTTGGGGAAAGTGGAAATGATTATGGCATGGTGCCACCTACAGGAAACTCACACTCCTCTGAGGGAAACCAAAACAATAGCCGCCATTTACCACAAGCCAGTCCCTGGGCTCAGTGCTTTGCATGCATCATCTCTTTGAATTTCTGGAACAGCTTTATGAGGTGGAAATATTATTCTCCTTTTGCTGTTGAGGAAACTGAGGCTCAGAGAATCGAGTATCTCGCCTAAGGTCACAGAGCAGGGACTGGCCCCCAAATCTGTCTGACTCTAGCACCAGGCTATTAACCATCATCCATTTTTGTAATCCTTGAACATGACAGATGGTGTTATGTGCCATAATACAGAAAGGCACGCATGTATGTATACGCACATGCATGCACACATGCTTTGGGAAATGGGGAAGGAGGACATGAATGTTGATTGGAGTTGGGTTCAAGAGAGAAGTCTAGTTAGGCTTCTTGAAAGAGGAGCTGGGGTTTGGCTGGTCTTTGCAAAATTCAGGGCAGCTGAAGAGTGCCAGATGAATAATCTGGAAACTCAGTGTATCGGTCAGCCCAGTCTTTGTTTTATAACTTAGCCTCTTACTTGGGATTAAAGGTGGGCCCCATGAACGTTTGGTTCCTGGCCTTCTCCCTAAGGAGCATTCGGTTCGCACAGTCCCCGCACACCCCTTGCACAGGCCGCGTTGAGTCTCCCCTGTGGGCCGCCTCATGCAGCGCTAGGGAGCGCCTTTCCTGTTCCAGCCAATCAGCAACTCGACGAACAGTTGGGTGGGAGGAATTTTTGGCCTCTGGGATTTGGACAAGGGGCAAAAGGGGAAGCCCATGGCTGCAGGGAGCAGAGGCCTTAGGGCACTGCACTCTGAGTCTCTGTGCAAAAACTACTCGGACAGGTAGAGATGCACTCTGGAGCCACCCCAGCTCAACGGAGCCCCACGGGAGGAAAGGCCCTTGAATGGACCTCCCTGTGTGGTCTCACTGTCTCCATGACATCTTCCCTTGCTAACTTCCTTTACTCTTTGAGACTCAGCTCAGAGGCCTGGGAAAGCATCCTCTAACGTCCCCCCAAACCACTAACCTACTCCCTAACTCGGGCCCCCAGCAGCCCCCACTGCCGTTGCTCAGGTGTCTGTGTTAGGACAATGTCTATCCGCTCTGTATCCTCAGTGTCCATCACGGGGCCTGGCACAGAGCAGTCGCTCAGTAGATGCTTGTTGAACCAGACTGAACGGAAAGAGGGCCCTTCTGTATTGGGGACAAGGATCTAAGAAGGCAGGAGCACGAGCAGGGTGGGACCGCAGCACGGTCCTCTGCGTGCTGGTTAAAGCTACTCAAGCTGTATCTATGCCTTTTCCGAGGTCGCAGGTGCCCGATTACCTGAGAGCATACAGGACTGTACCATTGGAGAAGAGGCGGATGAGCCTGTTTCCCACAGTGACTTCATGGAGGAAGGACTTCTTGGACTCCACGATGTAAGTGTCTGGCACCCAGAGGAACTCCACCAGGCGGGCGTCCAGGGTGACGCTCTCGTTGCCTTCGAACACCAGCCGCGGGTCGGTCCAGCGCTGTCTGAGGTATATGGTGGCCGTGTAGTCCTGAGCGGGCGGGGCAGGGAGTGGACGGGGATGCGGAGAGAGACGTTCCGAGGTCGGAAGGGGTCAAGTCTTTGCCCCACCTCCTCTTAGGTCAAGAGCACAGACTATACCTTAGCAGACACCGGGTGGCGGGGCGTAGCCATAGGAGAACGAAGCACCTGATTCCTTCTAGATAATAACTCCCGCTGCCCAAGGGAGCCCCGCGCGAGCATGCGCAGTGCCCTAACTTCCTCGCCCTCGATCACAGAGGCCTCGCCAAAGCCGTGAAGGTTTTGGCGAGCTAAGCGCTTTGGTCGTCTGGGATTTACCCTGAATGCTCAGTAGGCCCTCCAGGCAAACTGCCTTTCGTGTCAACCTGTCTGTAATGTGTCCTCTTAAGTGAGAGGGTGATCGAAAGCAGTTCAACGATTGTCAGTTTTCATCAGCTTATCTCTGGCTCTGTGAGGAGCCACGTCAGGCTTTCCCACTATATACACTTTCATGCTTTCCCGTAATTTTCATCCCTCACCAAATGTACCCACTCCGCTCCCTGGTTCCTCCCTTCCTGGACTTCGAGTCCATTTTCCTCCTGATACTCAGAAGATGTTTTACGAGAACCTTCCATTGTCTTGGGTTTGGGCTAAGGTCCCCAGCTGCTGCCATTCCAAGTGCAGAAGGGCTGTAAGTCTCTGTTCTGTTTTCATGTAGCTAGAAAGTGTATTCCCATGAATCATGAGAAGAGGGGCCGCACTTACCATGTTACTCTCTGAAATGCTAGAAATACTAGCAATGTCCAGAGTCAGGGCTATCTGCACGGGTTCCCCTAGGATTGAAAAAGAAACCAGAAGGACTTACACAGAAACACCGACAGAAGGTTCCCTAACATAACACCAGCAGACGTTTTTAAAGATTAGAAAATTGCAGAAGTTAGCGCTTGCCTACTGGAAAATTTTATGTGCTTTAGAAGTAGGTATGGTCCAAGTTTGACGTCCTGCCCCTATCAGGAAGAACCACTGTATAGGGTGTGTCTTCCTTTTGTATGAAAAAAAAAAATGCACAAATATAGAGTCGGCTTAATATATGAGACCCACTATGTTCATTAGTGCATATTTTAAAGCACATCGTTTGTTACTTCGCACTTGGAGGATTTTTCCTATGGTGCTTGCGAGGGGCTGATTATTTAGAAATGTAATAGAGATTTGAGAATTCGTGCATAGATATCATTTTTTCCCCTCAACGAAGAAAATTTACCACAAGATGGCATTCGTGAACGTGTAAGGTTGAGCTCACTTGCCTCCTGACACTTTCCACTTCCTTTACCCTTCAGGAACCTTAAACTATTCAGAATTCCAGAACCTTCCCCTCTTGGTCATGTGTACAGGTGTCAGGCCTCGGTCATGGAGATTCGGCAGACGGGCCAAACTCCTGAGAGTGCCGGTCTTAGCCCTTGAGACTGAGGCCTCGGAGCCACCGTCCGGGGACACCAGGTCGGAGAAGTTCCCTCCTCTGTGGACCGGAGATGTGGAGAGAAAGCCCAGGAATGAGAAAGATGTGAGCCCAGCATCAGCCTGGTGACCTGGAAAGTTACCAAACCTGTCAGAAGGGCAGTTTCTCACCTGTAAGTAGGGGTAATGCTGATGACATCATAGGGTCATGGGGAGGGTCAAACGGGCTAGGCCTGTGATGGCGCCTTTGCAGGGGGCAGCGAGAGGGGACATACGCAAAGTGCTTGCCCAGCTGGGCATTTGGCAAGTGCTCAGAAATGGTTATCTGTACCAGCTCCCAGCATGGTGTCCCACACGAGATAACAGGCGCTCAGTAAACGGCCTTCCCTTCCCTTCCCCCTCTCTTCTGTAATCCTAGCTCATTCTGGAAAAGGAACAACTTCACTCACCAGGTTAATAGATGCAATAGCATCCACTTGCGAGGAATAATGGGAGTGCCTCAGGGGACCGTGACAGTGCAGTAATGAGGAGAAGCAGAATTCGAAGGAAGCTTAAAAACATCTCATTGGTGGGAAGGAAACCAAGCCATAGACTATAGGTGGAAATTTGGAAATGGAGTTTTAGAGTCGATGTAGTTAAAAAATAATTAAGTAAATAATCGTTGGTAATACTTGGTAGGAAAAAAGAACTTTGAAGGCAGACTCTGGAAGGTGCTGGAGGAGTGTGGTGCTAAGTGGCTTTCTGCCCCTCTAGGCAGCATGGAGCAGCGTCGAGAAGAGAAGGCGAGAGTCGTAGTGTTTGGATCCCATGCCAGCCACTTCTGTGTGACACAGCCATAGCTGTGTGACCTTGAGCAAATTGCTAAACCTCTCTGTGCTACAGTTTCTCACCTGCAAAACAGAACTAGTAGTGCCTACCAGCAAGGGTTGGTCCAGGATCTGTTTTAAGTGCCTGGAAGCCAGTGGGCAGTGGGTCAGGGCTAGCTGCCCTCCCCGAGGCGTGTGGAGAACGGAAAACACATGAGTTGTAGCCCCACTGTGTTTTCTGTTTAGTTTGTTTCCAGGCGGTGCAGTCCGGGCCTTGTAGGAAAGGGGTCAAGGCCAGCTCCTCAGCAGTGTTCACTAGGGTTTGCTTGCAAACCTGTGCTCTATCTCAGTCCCTGAAAAATCCCGTGATGGTTTTGTCCCTTAAGGGCCTCGGGGTTCTAGGATCTGGGTGGACAGACATCACAGAGGATAATGGCCCCTCCGTGGGCCTCCAGGCTGCCACGTGGATGGAGGCTCCTTTAGGAGGCAAAGTGCCAAAAGGCACAAAAATGGGAGTGGGGATGTGCTTTTTGACGGAGGGCCCTTTGCCCTATTTTCACCCTAGTAGGCTCTGGGGCTCACACCCCCTTGGGTTCATCCTAGGTTCGGAATGAGCGCCTTGCCCAAGGACCCTATGTCTTGTTGAGAAGTGAGCAGGCAACAAGAAGGGCAATGTCTGGGCTTAAGTGGGGTTTGAGAGACCGAGAAATTGACAGGTGGGCCTCACAGGAGTCCAGACTCACGTCCTTGTCGTTAGCGTTAAGCTGGGCCTAGGAAAACCAGGGCGGGTTGAAGCCTCCTGAACATAAGGACCCAGATCCTAGTCATGTGGCTATGAACATACATCCCAGATTTCCCATTGGGGGTGGAGATGGGGGTGGGTGTAATTGACCGACAGCCCCAGCTGCTGGGCTCTGAAATCTATGACCGCATTTGCTCTGAGGCCACCCTTTCCCTGGCCCATACCCCACCAGCGACGGAGCACAGCAGGGACACCTGTGGCAGACCTGTCCTGGGAGGCACAGGGGTGGGAACCTCCTCTGACGGGAGCTTGGGCTCAAGGACTCCCCGGCCGCCTCTGCGGACACACTAAGAACTGCAGTTCAGACACCTCCGCCCCACCTTCTTCCTCCCCCTCGCTCCTTGCCCTGGGCTCAGATTTGCATTGCAGTCTGACAGCTCTCTAGCTCCCCTCGGGTATTGCCCACATAAATGTCTTGCACGGACAGTACCCTCTCAGTGTCTGCTCCTCGGAGCACCTAGACTAACCCCCTAATTCTTGATCTGACCAGAGAATTTTGTCACCCGAAGGGAAGAGAGCAGGAAGAGAGAGGTGTTAAGACAGACCGTCCCCTGGTGATCTGGCAGGTACCGTGCCTCGTATTCACACGCTCCACCTCATTCTGTCCTCCCTGAGAGGTGAGTGACACGTCCCCGTTCCTGACAGGAAAATCGGGGCTCTGGAAGCTAAGGTGCTTGTCCAGCAGCAGAGCCGGGACACGAACTCAGGTTTGTTCAAGTCCAAGGCTTGAACTTGCTGCTCTAAGTAAAGAGACACTGGAGACCATGTTGGTTCAGCCTTGCATTTTACAGAGACTGGGACCCTGTGTAGAGGTGTGTGTTTGGCCTCTTCTCTTCCTTCTTGCCTCATTCTTTCAACATATATTAATTGACAATTTCCTATATGAGCTGCTGCCAGGGTTAGTAAGGTACATGAAGCAAGACTCCCCGCCCCCGCCCCAGTTGCTGTAGCCTAGAGCTGACACAGACGTAAAACCAGTGACAGTGTCAGTATCAGCAGGTAACGGCTGTGATTTGGAGGTTTGTTCAAAATAAAGTGCGAAGAAAGGGGATGGGGCCTGGGGGAATCAAGGAAGGCTTCTCAGAGGAGGAAGCCTTTGATCTGAAACACGAAGGAAAATTGGCATTTCACCAGGGAGTCAAGATGGAAGAAGCGTTTCTTGGCAGATAAACAACCTTGGCAAAGGCATGGGGGCCAGGGAGGCCAAGGAAGTCAGGGAGCATTTGGGGCACACTCATGGAAGGGCACGGAGGGGGGAGGGGGGAAGGAGGTGGGGAGGCGAGACTGGCAGACGGACAGAGGCTGGGCTGGGAAGGACCTGGCGCACCAGGTAAAGGGCTCTGGACTCTATGCTGACGATGCTGGAATGCAGGCAGGTATCCTGGGCAGGCACAGGACCCAGGCAGGTAGGTCATCCAGGTGGTAGAGTGGAGGTTAGCTTAGCCTTGAGGGGGCATGTGAAGGCCGGAAGACCAGGTGGAATAGTTCTGGGGAGACATGGGGAGTTCCTTGAGTAAGGACACGAAGGCCGGAAGACCAGGTGGAATAGTTCTGGGGAGTTCCTTGAGTAAGGACATTGGAAGTGGGGGCAGAAGGAAGGCAGCTTGTGAGAGGCAGTCAGGAGTCTCTAGGGACCTCAGTGGGGAGGAGTGTTTATCCTGCAGGTGGAGAGGCAAAGTGCGTTCTCCAAGGCAGCATGAGAAATCATTGGCGGCTGTCCTCATCCATTATTGCCCACCCTCAACAGGCTGCAGGTCAGAAAGTGGAGTCACCTCAAACCTCCTGAAACTCTCCTCGGCTCCCATCTCTTTGAATTGACGTCCTGGATAAAAAGGGTGACCTACCGCCAAAATTGGGCCTGAGAAATTTGTTGTATCCTACAGTGAGGTTCTCAAAGCCGGGCAGGGAGAGCTTGTCACTTCTGCTGACCTCCGCGTTGAACCGATTCCCCTGGATGCACATCCTGGAAAAGAAAACAGGGCTCGGAGCATGCGCTGGTTTATGTGCGAACAAACGCGCGCGCATGAACACGGGCTTGTGTTTGCGTGGATGCGGTTATGCCAGCGTGACTTTCCCGAAGAGAAATTTCCGCTTTTCAGCTGCTGAACTAGTGTGTCCCTCTCCCACTCCATTTTATTACCCATTTGCCACGTTGTGGTGACTGGGGAGCCCTCCAAGTGTCTTCCTAGGAAGCGTAAGAGGTGTGTGCACTTAGGAACGTTTTTGGAAGCTCGAGTCCTCCAGGGAGAATAAGCGGCAGGGTGACTGGGGAGCCCTCCAAGTGTCTTCCTAGGAAACGTAAGAGGTGTGTCCACTTAGGAACATTTTGGAAGCTCGAGTCCTCCAGGGAGAGTAAGCGGCAAAAAGCCGCATCGCCCTGGAGAGTCGGGGAGGTGAGTGGACCAGGTTTCGTCTTGCCACAGGTAAGCAGGAGGCGCGGCCACCCCTCCCACCGCATGCACGTGCACAGAGCAGTTCGGCCCGAGGCCACCGTGGGGGAGCATAGCTCACCTTCCCGTGAAGAGACTCAGACACATGAAGGTCAAGTGGAGACTGTATCTCATGTTGAGGAGCCGTTTGTGCAGACAGAGGCCGAAGCAGGAATCACCTGGGGAAACAGACGGGGTGGGTTGGGGGCAGAGCACCCTCCTTTCGGCCCAGCTTCTGGGTCCGATGGGCCGTTGGCTGTAGCTTTCTCTCCACACGTGTGGGGAGCAGCCTCTTCCCACACCTCTTCCCTGCATGCCACCCAGAATGGCTTCATTTCGGACGATCACATGTTAAATCCAACCAACCAGAGGCTGAGACCTTGATTAGAGAGTGGCTCACCAGCCCCAGAAACGCCGCTGGGCCACCCTGTCCTCGCCCTGACATAGCCAGGAAGGACCCCCTCAACTATACACTCGCACCGACTCTGCCAGACGTCCCCTTATCCATTTGAGGGTCTAGGCCCGTGAAGCAGGTCCCCCAGACAGAAAATGAAACTTCCCCCAAATCCTTCCACGTGCAGGGAATGAGTTAGTTACTTTCCCACGGATCCTCGCGATGGCCTTGGGAGGTGGGCGGGTTACTCCCAGGGCAGGCGGACCTCGTCTTACGTGCCTCGTTCTATTGTATTTCATAGACGTTGCACTTTTTACAAATTGCAGGCAAGACCCTCCACCGGTAAAAAGATTGCGACTCACTTTACCGAGCTACTGGCTTTATTGAGGTGGTCTGGGGCCGAGGTGGGCCTGTGTGGCGACGAGGAAGCAGAAGCTTCTGGAAAGGCCGCCGTGCTAGCGAGTATAGGAGAAGAGCCTGAGTCCAGGGCTGGCAGCCTCACTGCCTGGGGCTTCCCAACTTTGTCAAGGACACTGGCTGCTCCCCCGACTCCCGACCCGCTCCCCGGTGCTCTGAAGCCATTTGACTGGTGTGGATGAGCATGGTGTGTGGTGAGGACTCTCAGGGTAGGCATGGCCCTGGGGGCCTGGCCGCCTCCGCTTCGGGAGCTGCTGTCAGACGTCCCTCTGAGAGAGCAGCAGGCAAGCCTGTGACCTGTTATGGTCATGCTGGTGACAGCAAAGCGGGGGTTCTTAGGTGGGGCTGAGGCCCCATCCTCCAGCAGGCCCAGGGTGGATCATCTTTCTCTGTGGTCACCTGCGTGACCAGGCCACCTTCTGGAATCAAGCCATTCTGGGACTCAGGATGCGATTCAGCTATTAGTTAACTAATATTATTTTATTTACAAAAGTACGTGCTCGTTGTGGACATGAAAACAAGAGAGAGCTGTATAAAGTTACAAGTGTAAGTCTCAATGCGGTATCAGCGTCAGCTCATCGACTCAACAGATGCTGAGAGTGAGGAAGGCTGGGCTCATGTGGGGGGCTCAATATTGCAGTGAACCTAGAACTTCTCTAAAAAATAGTCTTAGAAAGCATAAGTCCCTCCGTCACTTCTCTCTAGCCTCTTACCTCCGAGATAACCACTATTAACAGCTGTTTTATTTTTGCATACACATGGGTATTTATATACACATATATCTTTGCAAAAAAAAGACGTTAAAAAGGGAAAGTGGGGTGATAACATGCTATTTACTTTTTTGCGCTTAATAACAATAGCAAACATTTAAAAAACACTTTGATGCTCGCTTAGTAGTTACTACCGTGCTCCTCATTTTACAAGGGAAAAAGCTTAGAGAGGGTAAGAAACAGTCCCTCGGTTGCACAGGAGGTGAGGGGCGGAAGCAAACCCCGACGGGCTGACCCAGGCACCACGACACATGCTCCTTCCTGACGTCAGACACTGTCCCCTGTCAGTTCCCATAGACCTGCCTCATTCTTGCTAATGGCTACAAGGTATTTCACAAGATCCACGTACCAGCATTTACATAGCGCATGTCCTATTTATGGATACTAAGTTATTTCCGAATTTTTTACTGTTACAAAGCATACCTGAGCGCCTATAATTCTGCGCTCTATCATGTTCCTCCACCTCTGCCCTTTCCTTCTCGTCCATTGAAAATACCAGCTATAGAGAAAACATTATCAGTCCACCAGGGGTCATATTCAAACCTTTTCCCTTTAGTCCATCTATCCCCGGCCCTGTCCATCCCCCTGTCTCCAGCATCAGGTCTAAGAGGGTCCATAGCGTGACTGCCATGCCTTTCATCCCTTCATTCAGTTTTCTGAAGGCTTAACGTCTCTTCCTATGAATGCGGCATCACCAGAAGAGAGCTGGGACTTTGGATCCAGATGCACCTGAGTCACTTAACCCCTCAGAGCCTCGGCTTTCCCACCCGACAGACAAACGGGAATAGAAAATGCTCAGTAAGCATTAGTTTGCTTTCTCCTCTCCCGTCCATGTCTTCCACGGGGACCTCAGTGATCCCACCATGCCTCTGAGGACCCAAGCTCTTCCTAGTACACAGCCACGCTGCCACCCACGGGCTGAGCTGTCTGGAGCGGCATTTTGAGAGTACTCATTTTGGCACTCTTGGGAACGACAGGGTCCGACACTGGACTTCAGGGTCACCTAGGTGTCTGATAGCGCCTTTTTTTTTTTCTGGACTGGATAGTACCCTGATACCAAGTAGGTGCTCAGCAAATGCCAGGCCCTGCCCGCCTCCCTCAGCCCCTGCACAGCTTGGATTCGGATCTCCCTCCCCGTCCGCCCTCCCAGCAGTTAGTTTCCTTACCGGGCATTGATTTGCCAGCGCTGCGTTAGGACAGGAGCTTCGGGCCTCCGGGCCGGGCTTTCAGGCAGAGCATGGTCGTCTGGGGCCCCGAGGTTCTCCCCAGCCTCAGCCCTAACCACTTGGTTTCCAGCACACGGCTGCTCTCTGGTGGAGCAGCTCTCTGCCTCTGTGGGAAAGACGGAGCTGCAGGACGGGCTAGGCAAGTCGGTGGGTGGAGCCTCCCGCAGCCCCGCCCCTGGGTGGAGCTCTGAGCCGGCCCTGGGTGGCAGTGGGAATCCCCCAGCTCTTGCTATGACTGACTGTTGGCGACTGGGGCTTTGCTTCTGAGCAGTGTCTCAGCTATGCTCCCAGACCACAGCCAGAAAAGACTCGAGATCGAACGCCCATGAAAGTAAAATAAAGTATGTGACCCCACCTCTCATGCCTGGAAGGTGAGTCTCGGGTTCTGAATGTGGAGGACAGCCCTCATCCCCATAAAATGCAACAGGAGTTAGTTAGTAGTACGTATGACCTTGGCAAGCCACTTCACCTTCCTAGTCCTCGGCTTCTCGTACATAAGATCGAACTTAGGCATTTCTAAAATTCTGATTCCTGGTTGTGCATTTTAAGAGCAATTTTTGGGATCAACAGGAAGCCTAGTCTACGTAAAAGTAGACTTGCAGATCTCAGGAACTCGTGCTTTCCAGGCTGGGAAGTTTTAAAAAGAGACACAAGGGGCCGAGAGAATAGAGGAGAGAGGCTGAGCAGGCCAACCCAAGAAGAGGTGGGTTTGGGAAGAGAGACTTTGGGAGAAATTCGGCTAGATTTCTAGAAATCTCCCTTATCCCTATCCCTCACAGAGAGGATTCTTTAACCCCCTGCAAAGTCCTTCTGGGAGCATCCTCGCTCCATGGCCAATGGACCCTCCTAATGGAAGTGCTTCAACAATGTCCGCCAAGCCCTGGTCCTCCCCATCACCACAGCCAGTAGCCCTGAAACCCAGTCTTGGCTCCAGCCCCATGGGGAGGCACAAAGAAATCCCTAGTGGCTTGGCTTTGCACCCCGAGATTGCTGGGAGCTAGTGGAGAGGCCCAGGAGAGTGCCAAGGCTGAGACGAGATGCCCCAAGGCACCACCCCCTGCCCTCCCGACATCATGGCCAGATCCCTCCACTTCCTGCCAGCCTCGGAGGCAGGAAGGTGGGGAGACAGGGTGAGAATTAGGAGAGGGAGCAGTGGAGCTACAGAAAGTCAAAGGAGGTAGGAGGAGGGGATGAGCCTTGTGTACAATGCCCCATAGATGCCTTTGGCTCTTTAGTGTGCCCCTGGACCCCAGCCAGCCTCGCAGACATTTCTCTGCTGGTTGGTAAGGAGTAGGCTCCAGCCTTGTGTACAATGCCCCATAGATGCCTTTGGCTCCGAACCATTTTCTTTAGTGTGCCCCTGGACCCCGGCCAGCCTCGCAGACATTTCTCTGCTGGTTGGTAGGGAGTAGGCTCCGGAGGAGAAAGTTCTTTGATTTCTCCTGAGGGGCCTCACTTTCATCTGGGAACCTTGAAGGAGGCTGGAACAGGAAGCAGGTTTCAGATTCTCATGAATGGAAAGTGGTTCGGGGCTTTTCTCAGTATTTTCAAGATGTTCTCACATAAAACAAAGGCTCAAAAGTAACAGACAGTTGAGAGCTGGGAGGTAGGAATGGGAGAGGTTGTCATCTGACTCAGGAGCAGTGAGACTTAGATGAAATAACATGGGCCCGGGTAGCTGGATGCCTTTGGCCACTTACTCAACCTCTCTGGACCTCAGTTTTCATATCCGACAAATGGGGATGATGATTTCGCACGGCGTTGATGCAGGAATTCAGGAATGACAGGTATGATAGCATATCCAAAACTACCTGGCATATGGTACCTGGCACATTGTCGATGCTCAATAAGTTGTTCTTTTTATCCTGATGTTGTTAGCATCTTCTCAAGTTTGTACTTATCTATCCAATCCACTAAGTATCTATCATCTGTCATTAATCTATCATACTTATCAGCTGTAGCTCTACCATCTACCTACCTATCAGCTATCTACCTACCTGCCTGTCATCCATCCATCCTGTATTTAATCTTCCCAGGCTCATTGTCAGTGTATTGTACTTCTATGTAGGCGTCAGTCGATATGTTAATAGGCCGATTATACCTGGGGGCTGGGGCAAGCCAGACCTCAAAGCTGATAAAGTAGGTAACATATGCGCTCTTATCCTCCAGCTTCAAACAGTGCTTCGGTCTAGTGCCAGCTACTTCTTCGATCTCTTTCAGATCAGCTGAAGAAAGGCCCGGAGTGGGAGTTTCCAGGGAAGTCAGGTTCTTCTCCAGTGGTCTCAGGCAGCCTTACACCTTGGCTCTGAAATCCTAGCAGCCTCTGCTCCATCCAGACCACCTCATTTCCAAGTGTGACCTCTAGTCTCAGGGCGCCTGAGGTCAGTGGTAGTTCAGGATGTTCAGCTATGCAGATATACTGCCCACAGGTTCCTCATTCTGGTGTCTTTCTCCTACACCACATGGCTACCCACCCTCTAGAGTGTCCCTGAAAGACAAAGGCCAGAGGGGGTGAGTATTCCTCGCCCGTGCCTTGATCGCTATGCATTCAGGATACTCATAAGTCATGATAATGCCGTACGTTTATATAGTGTCTTGCAGTTTTCAGAGCCTTTCAATGTGCCTGTGCCTTATCTTAGTTGAGCCACGTTATAATCCTTTGAAGCCATAGGGTTTATTCCTTTATTCTCATTTTGCAGACGAGGGAGCAGTGCCCAGAGTCACATGCAACTAAGCTATAGAGCCAGCATGAACTGGGATCCAGGCCTTAGGATTCTGAGTCGGATGCTTACCTCACATGCACATTCAATGTAGGGGGGTTCGGTGGTGTTAAAAAAAGCACAATTTGGCATTTACCTCCCACAATCTCTAGTGATCAAAGCACCTAGTTCACTGACCAAATCATACGAGTCTTGACGGAAAGCCTTGTAGGCTTCCTGGAATTATCACTGTCGGCATCTCTCTTACTCGCCAGGCAGGGTTGAGAGAGCTAATGGAACACTGCATTCAAGCAGAGCAAGAAACACGAGAGACTCTTGGAAAACTGCTTGGCAATGATGATCAGTTTGATTTTTTTCAGGACGACAGCTTTTGTGGAAGCAATGAGAAGGAGATACTGAGAGAGACGTCCTCGGCCTTAGCATCGAAGCAGACTTCTACCTTCCTCCAGCGGGACTCAGTCCTGGGGTGCAGCCTTGCTGGAACGAGCCAGCAAAACAAGTAAACAGAGTCACCGGCAGGCATGGGAAGGGCGGTGGCAGAATCAGACACTCTCTCCTGTTGGCCAGTGGGAAAGGCTTTGCTTTATGGAAGCACTGGCTTTCATCCTACGAGCATCTCAGAGCAGATATCTAAAGCAAAAGGCAGCTAACTGCCCTGGGTAGACGTGGAGCAGCATATTGTGCGAGCATCTCAGAGCAGATATCTAAAGCAAAAGGCAACTAACTAACTGCCCTGGGTAGACGTGGAGCAGCATGTTGTATACAATTCAGTCTGAAGGAAGGAAGGGAATTAACATCAATTGAGGAACTATTGTATATCAGGATCTGCGATGGATATTTCCACAACTTTCGTTTAATCTCATAATATCCTTTCTTTTTGATGATGGTAAAGTACACATAACATAATTTACCATTGTAGCCCCCATTTAAAAGTGTATAATTCAGTGGTATTAAATTTGCTCACGAGGTTGTACAATCCTCACCACTATCTAGTCCCAGAACATTTTCATCGCCCCAAACAGAAACCTCAGACACAGTCCCTTCCCATGTCCCTCCCTCCAGCCCCTGGCAACCACAACCCTGGCTTTGTGCCTCTATGGCTTTGCCTGTTCAGTATGTTCACAAGCTTTTGATCTAAGTATTGTTATTCCCGTTTTATAGATGAGAAAGCCGTGTAGCTCAGAGAAGTTTTTATCTTGTCCAAGGTGGCAGAGCTGGTAGGTGGTGGATTCTTCACTGACCTCTCCATGTAGAGGAGAGATCCCATTTACTCACATGGCCCTTGGACTTGGCTTGGACAGGCCTCCAGGAGCAAGCCCCCGTTAGTGTGTCCAGGGTACAGGGCAGGCGAGGGGACGGGAGCGGGAATCCTGTGCAGTGGGCCCGAATCAGAAAGGAGGCAGGAAGGAGAGGTGTCCCAGGTAAAGGGTCCAAGGTGTTGACATGGGGTGGCCAGTCAGCCAGTAGAACCAGGACCCCTTGGTGGAAGGCTCTCTCTCTCTTGCTAAGGTGGTGACTGGGGCAGGGGTAGCACCTGACTCTGGGGGAGCTTCCAGCACAGCAGGCTGTGGCCCCCATACTTCTGATCTAACGGCTTTGTTTTTTCAGGTTAGCCCGCCAGGAGAACGCCCCAGAAAGCCAGCGACTCAGGTTTCTTTTTCCCCAGAGAAACAGAGACCTGTCTTTGGGTGAAAATCTGTCTTGTCAGCTGTCAACACCCCAGGCTGTCTGGGGGCGCTGAGTGACCCAGCGGGAGTTCACGAATGGCCTCGGGTCAGAGGTGGCTGCCAGCTGGCACCTCCCGAACAGCTGTGTGGGCCTTTTGTTGGTTTTCTGGGAACCCTTGGGAAGCCAGGTCAGGGTGCTGCACACCCACGCCAGTCTGGGCCTCCGTCAGCCTGGGGGGCCACTGCCTGGGCCTTCACCCAAGCCACTGGGACTCAAGGAGCCCATTTTCTTGCTACGGGGGTATAGTAGGTGTTTGGGTGTGTTCTTTCGCTACTGCCTTAAACTTAAGAGGCGCCTGGCCTCTCCCTCCGAGAGACATTGGTCTCCCACCTTCCCAGCACTACCTGTCCCTCCTTGTCACCCTGGGAAGCAGAAAGGGGTTCCCATAAGAGCCCTGGCTCATCCGTATGAAGGGGACCCCCTTCTCCCGAGTCTCTCTCTCCCTGGGGTATGGCATCCCTTGTCCGCGAGGGCCCTCAGCGAGGTTAAGCATTCAGCTGAGAGCCCCACGCAGCTGCTGTGAAGGGCTCTGCCCGCCCCCTGAGGCCTCTGGGACACGGTGGTGACTGCATCTGCCTGTGTGACTCCAGTAAGATGAGCCATGAGGTGAGGCAGGTGGCTTCCTCCTGGCAATGATCTGTCTGTCTG